GAGCCTGTGCTGATCTTGAATTAACAGCCACCATGTGATGGGAAAAACTTGTCTTACTTGGATATGAAGGTAATGACAAGTTATGATGGAGCCTGGGTTACAGCAGGAGAGGGTATCCTGAACTGGACTGTCGGGACAGTGAGTTCTGGCCTGTGGCCTGATTGCCTAGTCCTCATTTGAGGGTTCTAAGAAAACAGTCAGGAAGGAATAGAACAAGAGAATCCATCCTGGAGGCCAGATATGAGCATTGCAGTTCACTCTGTGTCTCACCTGTCCTTGGCTGTGACTGGTTAAAAGCCTTTACAGTTGTCCTTGCCTTCTTGGTTGTTGATTGTTTCTTCTCTTCACTCATGCCACTTTTCTTGCTATCACTGATAAAAGTCACCCAAGGCTAAGTCCTAGCTTGCTCAGGTATTGTCTCTGCCTTATTTTTTATGCATCTGCCTATTTACTTGGCCTTAAACTAATTGCTCAATCGAGCCAGTCAGTGTTTCTGCAGAACTCCTCTTGGATGGCTTCCTGCTTCATTTAAGTTTAATGCATTCTTTTAAATTCTTTAGGTATCTTTGCAGAGCTCCACAGTTCCCTAGTGTAAAGCTATCACTTAATCCCAGCTCTTTCAGTAGGCCTAGGTACAGTGTTCAGTGTAAAATAATCCAAAGGATGGTTTATGGTAGGTGCTAGAGATGAAATGATAGAGTTGTTGGGACAGCAAATTAGGAAGATGATCTGGGTGTCAAATGGACAACAAATATAATTGCAACTTTATTTAGATTGGCACAAACTTGAATGATCATATCTGAAATCCTTAGGCAAGTGAGGTTAATTGCTATCAAAATCAAGATGAGGTCTGGTTCTCCTATGTTGAAATCTTGGTTCTGTTGGTTCACAGTTTTTCCTTGAAATGCAAGTGCTGAAAAAAGGGCAATTTTGACTAATTTATCTCATCAGCAATTTTCCTCTGTGCATTTCTTTGAAATTATTTGACTTCTACCTACTTTTACATTTGCTTTAATTTTCATTCTTTAATCCCATCATTACAATTTCCATATGTTTCATATCACTGTAGCATATGGATTTCTGTATTGAAGTTCTGTAATTTACTCATTACAGGGAATGATTAAAGCAGAATTTTGTCCTGCTTAACATGAAAAATCAGTCTCTGGGGTGGGTTCCTTAGCTGTAGCCTCTTCTCAGATAATTTCTAGTGTTTCAAATGGTGTTCTTTCCATCATGTTTTCACTGCCCATGTCTGTTCCTCGGTAGCACAACTTTGAAACTATTTTCTTTCCTGGAGATCTAACTCACTGCATTGATGTTTCTCCCTTCCAAGTCCTACAAAGTGAAGCTGTGGATCATCTCACACTTGCCACTTTCAGGAATGGCACGTGTACGTTGCACTGGGTGCAGTTAAAGTTTCCAGCATTTGAATGGAGTGCCTCAGTGTATAAATCAACAAACATGTTTGTCTTCTTCAGTTTTCAGATATAAGTAGTTTGTGCAAGTTAATATTTACATTTCTATTGGCACCAGGGTCAGATTCTAATCAGCACTCTAAATAAAAGGGCAGATGGTCACAAAGTGAAATAGCACACTTTGGGATCAATAAGATTTGTCTGTCAAACTGATCTCTTGAAGAGGAAAATGAACTTCTCTGTATTTGAAAACAAGCAGATGAGTTGGCGACTGAGGGAAACTGGCACTTCTTCAAACAGTGCTTTCTGCACACATTTGTGGCTTTGCCAGAGATGGATACACGGGCTACATCAGTGGCAGCAGTCGCCCAGCAGTACTTTGGTGCCTTTTGTCATTGCTGACAGGAGTGGAAAATACTTTTTGAGGCTTCTGGGTGCTGTGATAGTCGTGAAACATGCTGACTTGTCTGTAATTTCCAACTAGCCTCTACCAGTGACAAAAGGCTTGGGAAGCAGTTCTTGTTTCAGGCTTGCTCTGGAAATCAGGAAGAAGCAGTATTGACAGGTCTTGACTCTTGAATCATGATGAGAAGAGCTCCATAACTTTGTTGTGAGAGAAGGGCAAAACATGCCATGCAGATTTCTGCCACAGATGTGAAATACAGGTGAAATTTCTTGACAGTCACGTGGAGGTCTAGGTGACCCATGGACCCCGTGAGTTGTGAAGGAAGGTTTTATATAATTTGAAATCATAAAGAAGTTTTTGGATTGGGTTGATTTCTCCTGGAGTTCTCAAGCTTGTTCAAACTCACAGGCTTGCAAACCAATGTGAATTAAAATTCTGCCCTGAAGGCCTTGAAAGGCAACTTTGCTTAGAATTGAAATTGCCAGGCTTCACTGTTCTGCTTCTAAACCAATTCACTGGTGTTTAAAGGGAGGCTTGACTGACCTCATGATAAGACACTGATGCTGGCTTTTTCAGCATTAACCTTACAGCCTTCAAATACAGTGGGCTTGATGCTGCAGCAACTGGGAATTACTGAGAAGAGGAAAATTAGAACAGTGTCAGCAGTTAAAGGTCTGATTTCTGGCTACAGAAAGAAACTGCACTGGTGGAAAAAAAAGTATCCTGCTGGCGTTTGGGATAGTGAGGCTGCAGAGGAAAATTGCCCTTTATTACAGAAACTGCATGGAGCTTTGAGAGGCCTTGAGTGGTCACAGGTAGATTAGCAACAGGAGAGGGAGCTCTCAGTGCGTTACCTAAAGAGGGAAATCCTGGGCTTGGGAGCAAGCCTTCTAATGAAGAATCCTACTCTCCTGCTGCTCCCTGTCAATAACATGGTGGTGGCTACCCTGTCATATAGGCAAGACCAATGGGGAATGTGCATGTCTGGAAAAAGAAAGAAATTGAGGTACACGGCAAGGAACAGAGTAGTTTGGGGGTTTAGTAAGCTGTAGATTTCTCTAAAACAAAAGTCCACTTCTTCTTGGATCCATTTACACTTAAATATGCCTCAGACTGTAATGTTTGAGTGGCTTTCTGGCTGAAGGGAAATGCAATTTTCCCTCTCTATCAATGAATGTGAAGTACAGAGATAGAGTGAGTGGGGTTTGCAGGGGAGAGGAGAGATTGTTTCAACAGCCAGAGGTATGTGGTAGGAAGCAGGATAGCTCCGGCTCCAGGGTTGTGTAGTGATGTCAGCTTCAGGCTGTGTCCCAGAGGATGCGCCCTGCACTTGGTGTATCAGTTCAAAGTGCCAGTAAGATGCCTCTTTGGCTTCCAATCCAGAACTTGCTTGCATCTGGGATGAGTGAATGGATCTCTCATGTGAGTGCACCCAGCTGTACAGACATGCTCAAGTTACTTTTTAATGTTCACAGGGTGAAAAGGGAATACATTCAGTTCTCCTTTAACCTGCATAAGTGCTGGTTCAACTGATTAGCATCTACCTCCTTTATTTGAATGTGCATGGTACTGGCCTTTATGCAGTTGTTATTGCTGAGCCTGTGTTGTTAACTTAGATAATACCAAAATAATTCTAGCTAAGAGCTTGCATGTTTGTTTGGCTTGTGTTTGTTTTGAAAAGGGAATATGCTAACCCTCTTCTGCTTGAATTACAAGCCTAAGGTAACTGACTTTATTGCCAGCTTCTAAAATATTGGTGAATTTTTTTCCAAAGGGTTTTGAGTAAAAGAAACTTTCTGTGAGAGACTGTGCCTCATATTCTGTGTAACATAAAAAACTCTCAAAACTTTGCTTTCAAAGTGTACATTTGTATCTCTATACTCACGATACATTTGTCTGAGGTTTTCCTCCTTAAATTCTTTGGATCAAAGCAATAATAGAAATCTAAGTTTTTAGTCATTATCTTCTCTCCAAGTTTTGTAATTTGCTGGAATTAAATTGGGAATCTGGGAATAATACATGATCATAGACACAATGCATATACTGCAGGCTTATTTCCAGAATGTCAGTGGAGGGTTATATTGAATACTTTTGTCCTGCTGTTGGTGTGATTATAAAGATGCTTGTGCAACTTGGGAAATTGGGTCTAAAAGCAAGAAATGTGAGATATGTCTGGCAAGAGGAGATAATATGAATTTAATTGTAGCATTGCTGTTGTTCTTTACTATGTTGTGATTGGGCAGGAAGATCTGCCCAAAAAAAAAGTTTTGGTCACAGCTGTATGACTTTCAATACCTGCCAGGAAGATAAGCAATCCAGGGTCACAGTGCTTTAAACACTGGCAGGTCTCAGGAGAGACTCAGGTGTTTTGCAGTTACCAGAGAGGAGAAAACATAACTGCAGTCAAACCAAAACTTTTCTTTTTTTTTTCTTTTCGGCTAAACTAAGTTTAGCTGATCTTTTGATCTTTAGATGACGTTTAAAGCTTTATTACACAGTGACAAATAAATAAGAACAACTAGAGTCTGTATGAGATAGCACTGTATATATGATATTCCTTTCCTAAGTAGTTGGAGAGATGAGAGCTTTAGCCTGCATTCATGTATTAATCAGTGCAGGTATTCAGGATTGAATTGTGAATTATCAGTACAAACTTACTTTATTTTATTTTAGATAGGGGTCACTGCAGGATTGGTCTGAGATTTGAGTAGCTACACACCTGATATGCCTTTGAAAGTACACCTGTGCTGGCTGTACAAATACACAAGTATCCAGTAATTTCTGATCTGTTAAATCCCTGCCTTATACCAGAGAGTTCATAATATTTTGCAGGATGTAGAGTCTATGGTAATAAAGAATTGTTTGCAATATATGAATATATATTATGTTTTGTATATATTATATTATGTATATGTATTGTTGCAGTTTTAGCTGCTTTAGTTATGCAGACTGAAAGATGACAGGTTTGTCATCATTTTGTCTTCTAAGAAAGATTTATTCGTCTTGAAAAGCTCTTGTTTCTGGTCACTGAATCCAGGCTGGTTCTAAGCCCTTGCACTTTAGGGGCGTGTTCTAGGGGGCTGTTCAGGAGGGTCATGCAGAGGTCAGGCACGTTTCATGCTAAGAAACTGCTTTACACAGATTTGGGAATAATGCTGTTGTTCATGGTTTCCACACAGATGGTACCAGACAGGAAGAAGTGGAAGGTGAGCTCAGTGAAGAAGAGCGCTGGTTTGGGAATTCTTCAGAAACTCCTTCGGAAGCATCATATGGAGAAGTCCAGGAGAACTTTAAGTTGTCTCTTGAGGACAGAATTCAAGAGCAGTCCACCTCCCCTGATACCTCTTTGGGAAGTGCAACGCCGAGCAGCAACACAGCGGAGCTGGGATCCATTGAAAATGAGGCACTAAGAGACACACTACAGAGCAAGGAGCACCTTTCTCCAGATGTGCCCTCTCTGGGTGAGGAGGAACCTCCTGGACCAAACAAGCCGCTGAGCAGTAACCTGAGGCGGCTCCTGGAAGCTGGCTCCCTCAAGCTGGATGCTGCTGTTACAGTCAATGGCAGGGTTGAGTCCCCTGTAAACCTTGGCTCAAACATCTCTTTCTCTCCACCTGCTCACCATGCCCAGCAGCTAAGTGTGCTTGCCAGAAAGCTTGCTGAGAAACAGGAACAAAGTGACCAATACAATGCAGGCAGTCACTTTATATGGAATCAAGGTAAGTGGTTGCCAAACTCAACCACCACCTGTGGTTTGTCCCCTGATTCAGCTATCCTGAAGCTGAAAGCTGCAGCCAATGCCGTTCTGCAGGACAAATCTTTTTCCAGGACTGAGGACAGGATAAGCTTTGAATCCTTTTCCTCACCTTTTAGCTCTCAGTCAGCCAGCTCCACGTTAGCAGCTTTGTCTAAGAAAGTGAGTGAAAGAAGCATGACTCCCGGGCAGGAGCACCCGCCTCCAGCCAGCTCTTTCCTTTCCTTGGCTTCCATGACCTCTTCAGCTGCCCTTCTCAAGGAGGTTGCTGCAAGGGCTGCAGGCACCCTCCTGGCTGAGAAGAAGAAATCACTGGTTCCTGAGGATCCCTTGCAGCTTTCAGAGATGAAACAAGAGAAAGCAACTCCACCACAGTCTTTGGAATTACTGCTACTACCAGTCCCAAAGGGAAGAGCATCCAAACCCACCAGTACAGGTACGGATAAAACTTGAACCACTGAGTAGAATGTATTTGTTTTGCTATAGGCTTATATAACATCTCTTTAGTGCGTCTGGATTTGGTTTGATTGCATGTCTTATGAAAATAAGAAATAGATACTTTAGGTGAACAATAGAAAAGCTTTTTGAAGTACCAGCTTGAGACCAAACTGTCATAAATGTTTCCCTATTTTAAAGGTATGAGTGTACAGTTCGGTACATTTTTTTTTCCCCTTTTTATTCCATACAATAGTATTTTCCTCTCTTACCAAGTTTAGAATGTGTCCACAAAAATATTTAATGGAGAAGATCAAAGAATCCCTGTGAGGGAGTTCACAGTATCAGAGAGCATGTACAAAACTAGTGCTTTTGAAATATTGGACAAGGGAGAATTCTCCCTCCTGCTGTCTCTGTCACAAATGGACTTTTGTGTAATCGCTTACTACCCTGTCCTAATTTACCAGAGTATATTATTGTGTTGCCACTTTTCATTAAAATTTTTTTACGATCCTTTGTTGTTAACAAAAAAAAAATCCAACTAAACTGCATTTCTCTAATTTGCTCAACGAGAACCATTTTACACATCTGACTTTTCTCCATCAGTTCCAGCTGTTGACAGTCAAGGAATCAGGGTTATAGGGAAGAAAAAACTGGGTAACAAAAGCTTTAAAGAACTGACGAGCCATGCAGGACCATTTAAATGATCCATCTTTAAGCTAAGGAAAAATAATTTTTCTCATCTGTTTTTATAAAAAGTTCACATCACAGACACCTGGCTTCAGGTGTTGCCAGTGTTCTGCTGCAGAGGAAAAGGAAGCATGGCAGGTATCTTCACAAGGTGCACAAAGTGGTTTAGTATATTCCACCTTTATCAGGCTGGGTTTTATCAGGAATACTGGCCTGGCTGCACAAGTGTAGCAAGCCAGTGTACAGATATGAAGCCTGACATGGATGTTGCATAATTGCCCTGCTGTTTTTCTGGCCTAACCTCTTTGTTTAGGGGTATCATGAGGCCTGATCTGTCCCTGTGCAGCTCTTGGTCATTGCTCATAGGTTAGAAGCTATTGTATGGACAGCAATGGTAATCCCTCTCTTGGAAGAGGAGGGAGAGGGATGCAGTGAGTTACAGCCAGTACCAGGTTTTGCTCTGTGTTATACATGTGTTCTATAAATGCTTAACTGCTGTGTTTTGCCAAGGCAATTAAAGTGGCAAACTATTCTTGGCATGGGCCTAAGGTTTTCATTAGTCTAGATGAAGTCCTCCTTGGAGTGACATAAGGTAAAAGCTGAATGTGTACATTTGCCATGAAAATAAATGTTACACATTCCTGATTCCTTTTGCTCAGAGAACCTTATGGCACTAAAAGATTATTTTTTTTAAATGTATATAATTATATAATGCTTTATCTTGTTGTCTGTCTAGTTGTTCCTTGAGACTTTTTTTTTGTCTTGTTCCCAGAGAGAAGTATCTTTTCCCAGTAGGTATAGTTTGAGAGGCCTTTTCCCTCTGCTCTCATACTTTGAACTTTTAATTCACTGATGAGTTCGCTTTGCTGTTACGAATCTGATTTACTTCCCCACCAGCAACATGTAGCTTTGGTTATGAGATCAATGCTCAGGGAGATTAATTAGATGTAAGTAAGGAGCAGCAAAGATGGAGGCTATTTAAAGAGGACTAAGTTAAGAACAAGAGTGTGCTTGCTGCTCTTTTGTCCACCACGTTGAGTTATTTGCTCAGAACTATTTCAGGCAAGAAGCTGGAGCCATGGCTTATCAGAATGTAGTTGCCTCAGAAATGGCATGTCAAATTTGGTCAACCTAATCATTACTTGCATTTTTTTATAGTAAATTGGTACAGAGGAGACTAACTTTTCTATCAATCTGTTAATATTGCCAGTTTTGTAAACTACTCACATTTGGGTTGATGTTGAAAAGGAAACCTGGAGTATCTATTAAGTTCTGATTGTTTTGGAAGACTGTGGGTGACAGACCTTTCTTTTACTGACTGAATACTTATTTGGTGTAACTTAATGCCTGTGATAGATGCAACTTTGTTCCCAAAACTTCTTTGGGAAGCACTGGCTGATTCTCTCCTCACTGGAGTAACACTGTGATATAAAATAGACATCAATATAAATGAAGGAAAGCTGAAACCCCTGATTTTCTTATTCTGAGCTTCATGCAGTATAGAGTTAACATGGTTCAGCTTTGGAGTATAGTTGCAAAATTCTTGAGTAACACTAATTGTCGCTGTTATTGGTGAAGTCACACGCATTCATCCCACTTGTTTGTATATTTTATAATGTGCTAAATCATCGTTGATTCTTGGTTGTAGATTTATTTTTAATGGGGTCAAAACCAGGTAATATCTTGTTACACATTTCTCTTCTGGGTCATAACCAAAGGCTGAAGAAAAGATGTGATAGAAGGAAAAGACAAGATAGGTAAAAAAGCTACCCATGTATTTTTTTCTGTTGTCTCTCTCCTGCCTTTTGTGAAGAAAAAAGTAAAAATATTTTAAAACAAACATAAGCCGTTATGACACTGGTTTTGGCCTACTCTTTAGAGATGCAGAGAGGGGGAAAATTTTATATTTAAATGTGATAGAATATTTTACAAGGAGAATTTCTGAACTTGCAATAATACATGCTTTGACATTGTGTCCCTTTCTGTACTTACATAATGACTACCTAATCAGTTGAATTTCGGTGGTTTTGTTTCCCGCTTAATAGCAAGAATTGTATTTTGGGATGTGACAGATCTTTCTGGAAGTTTTTATCACTTAGTTCCTCATCAAGGGAATTTGATGTTTGCTATATTCTTATCAGTGATAGTAATGAGATTAAATAGTCTGAGAGAACTTTTGAATAGCAAGATGCACATTGCTGAGCTCTGGATATTTGAAAATAGTCTTGTCTTTTACAGTGAGGCAAAGGACATCCAGTTCCACTGTAATAGTCAGCCTTTCTTTATAATAATGAGAGGAAGTTGTGAGAGGTTGGATGGATGGAGGGTTAGTTGTGCAAAGTCAGCAGCAATGAATTTCTCTTTTCTTCAACCTTGTGATGGTTCTGCACTTGGAAGTCTAACCATATTTTCCTGATCAATGCCACCAAATCCTTTTTTTAGGTGAATTGGGCAGTAGAGCAGAGTGCAGATATTTAGGAAGGCAGTAGATTTAAAGCCCTGGCAATTAGAGGAGCAGAAGGAAACCTATGATGAAGACCTTTGATGGCTGATGCTGCAGCAGGATCTGCTTGAGACATAACTAAACAATTTCAACAGCAGGACTTCTGAAGTCATTCAGTTCTGGTGTTAAATGTAACTGTCATGCAATACCAGCATGCTTCTCAGGTAGAGTTGTGGGTTCTTCTGTGCTTTATATCCTGCTTCCCTGTTGGCTGACCATCAGATGTAGAAATTGATCATTTTTTTAACAGTTATGCATATTTTCCATGCTCTGCTACAACCAGCCTTTGATAGGAAATGAAGCTGAAAAGTGATGATTATGAGAGGCATTCATCTCAGAAGTGAAATTATAAGGAACATTAGGACCCAGGTGAGAGAGAGTAGCATCCTCTGCTGATTAGTGAAAGGAAGTTAGGGGCATTAACATTTATAAATTATGGTGACCTTTCTCAGAGGGGTAATAACTAGATCCAGGGGAAAAGATATATGTGGGAGGGGATGGAAACTTCTGGTATCTGTTGTTGTTTAACTGATGTCTCTTTACAGATGAAACTAGCATTGAGAAATGATATCTTGAGTGTGTTTACAAGGGGAAAATATTTGACAAGTGGCTGTAAAGGATCCTCTCTTTTTCTTCCTGCTAAGCCTCAGAAGAAGAAGGGGGAAAACCTTTCCAGTGTCCCATCTGTGGTTTGGTAATCAAGAGGAAGAGTTACTGGAAACGGCACATGGTGATTCACACAGGTTTGAAGAGCCATCAGTGCCCGCTCTGTCCTTTCCGCTGTGCACGCAAGGACAATCTCAAATCACACATGAAGGTAAGGGGGAATCTTTGCTGACAATCAAAGTACTCAAATCATCAACCAAAAACTGATAGTGTAAAAAAGCTATTTCATTTGCATTTGCAAGAATAAATTTTCCATAGTTGTACTACAGATGATGCCTGTACTTAAGTAAAGAGGCTATAAAAAGAAAGAAATAACTTTTATTCCATTGCTTGCCTTTCCATTTTATGCAATGTGGAAACTGCCTTGGGTTATGTCAGTTGGGTGCAGCACAAGCTGTCTGTAACTTACTCAGTTCCAGACCTGGAACTATCAGAAGCAGGGATGTTGGTTGGGATGTGACACCACACAAACCTATCCGTGCTGCTCTCAGGATGCCAGCTAATAACTCTGCATGCCAGTGTCTCACTCTAAGTGGGCAAACCAACTTGGCCAGCTCTAGCAGGGATGTCTCCATTGCTTTCTACAGGCAGGCCTGCAGTTTTAACTTTTTTATTGCTGTAGCTTTTAACTGTGGATATTTCAGCAGTGAATCATCCAAACCAAAATACATGACAGATTATACTGTAATATTTTGTTTTCATGTTTAAAGTGTGTTTTTAACTCAGCCTAAGTTTTGGGCTCAAGTTGAAGATGACCTTCTGAAGGAAGCAACATCTGTGTTGATACAGAAAAATATAAAAATGTGAAGAAACTGATTGTCTGCTTTGCTGAAGTACTATGTGGTAGCAACACAAATTGCCAAGTCTTGCAAGCTGTAGAATGTTCTTGAGGAAGTTAAAATGGTACCTGTCCTTGTAGCCCTTTTATTAATAAAAGCTGAAGTAATAACATTTCCCTTGTTAATGCATTTAACTATTATTATAAAACTAATAATGAAATGTTTTACTGTAGTTACTATTTTGTTTGTTTTAGGTGAATGTGTGTAACAGGGTATCAGACTGGTGTGAGGGGGGCCAGAGATGCCTGTTCAGGTTTCATGTATGCTATTGCAGAATCTGGGCTGAATGAACAAGAGTATGGCCTTGCTTACACTCAAGAAACTGTTCCCTTCTGTGTAAATTACTCAGATTCCTATGGTCACAACATCAGATCTTCCTATGGTTTAAGCTGTTACTAGGTCTTAAGTCATCTCCCTATAGTCTGAAGGCTCATTCCTTAATACTTCTACTGTAGATCAGTGCACTATTCCCAGGCATCCTCCGTGTATCATGTTAATCCTTATCAAGTAAGCTCAGTGTTTATGGCTCTCTCTTCTAGGACTTGCTGTTCCGTGTTGACTAGAGGGCACAGATGGCCAATCTAATCAGAGGATGAATAGATGGGATGGGAACACAGCATGGAAAGAAAGTGTGGGGTTTTTTTGTTTGTTTGTTTTCAGCTGTTGACAACCTGCACAGAAGCGTGTATCACCTAGAAGCTTACTGCTCCCTGGCAGAGACCTGTTGTTGTCCTCTGCTTTGTAAAGGACATCCCTATTGTTCCCTGCAGAGATAATTGTTCTCTGCATGTTTTGCCTTAGTGACAAAAAATGTTGCTTGAAGGTTGAGGGTCTATCCCTTCCTTTTTGGCATAGTGTTTTCTGCAGGTGGTCACAGGATGTTGGGCAAAATCAGGGACTTTTTCACTGTCTTTGTGTGTTCTCAAAGTGATGGCTTTCTGAGGTCCTTGTGGTCTTTTCTGCCCCCCTCCTAGCATTAAAGCTTTCATTAATGAGCCTGCATCTGCTTAAAACATACCTCCTTGTACAATCATGTAGCATGTAGTGTTAATTATTTGATAAAATTGTGATTATGACTGGGTAATGCTCAGTTAAAAATCCCTAAGGTCAGAGTCAGGCCTGCTTGATTCATGTAAGAGACTGCAAGCCACCTTCAGCTTTACTGTGGAGGCCAGGTCTGAAGTCTCCTCCATCACTGTAGTCCAGTCATAAAGGTCATGATGGACTTGAGCATCTTTGCAGGCAAAACTGTCAGTATTTGAGGTGAAAGCAATTTTCTTACAAAACTGGGTGGTTTGCATTTTTTTTTTGGTCTTACAGATAGATGTAAAGAATCACAAGCACAACAATTTGGAAGATAAAGTTTTACCTCAGTTTCATACACTATTCTCAAATGACTAATAATTAATAGAATTGTTTTCTATCACATCAGAACTGAAGCAGGTGAATGAGGAAGGGGCATGTTGGTCTTGTGTCCAGAAGTGTCACGCTTAATTTGAATTCCTTTTGGTGGAAGTATAAATTGATAGCAAGATTAAAAATAAAAAAAATGCCAGATTTCTTTTCTCATTATGAAAAATGTTCCCTTTAAATCTATATGTATATGGCATTATAAAAATTGGCACATATATAAGCTAACAGCATTCAAAATGGACTGAATACACACCAGAAATGGGAGCTGGGAGCTACTTAGGATGCAGTGTTCTGGTTATGCCAGTTGGGTATGTTGGTTATCTTATTGTCTTAGTATCATTTGGGAGCTACCTAGCCTTATCTCCTTTCTGGCAGGTAAGAGCAGAAGGTAAGAAGCAGGTAAGAGCTGCTTCTGCCTCTCCACCCATTTCTCCCCGTGTGCCAGCTATGGCTACAGGTGAAGGCACATTTTTCAAAACCAAAAGAGCCACTCAGAACTAAGGGACTGGGCTGGTGTTAGTCAGTCATTACAAGCCAACTTTTATTCCAGGATGCTGTAACAAACTAAGCTTTTTTCCTTTATGCTGCTCTTTGTTTTTCAGGTTTGTTTTTTTTTCTCTACTGATAAGGTTAACAGGCAAAATGTGTTTTGTTCAGCTGCAGTCCTCAAAATCTGATTATTTTCCTCCTAGGCAACATGAGCTTGAACTGCCTTATTTTTTCTTTTTTTTTCCTGGGTACTTGTAGGCATTCTCTACTGAAACTGGTTTTTCCATGAGTGGTCTCTGTGTGTGTCCATCTGGGCCTTCTTTACTGTGTCTTTAGGCTAATGACCAATAAATATATAATATATATAACTGTGTAATTTTATGATAATTATAACATGTCTAAGTGACTGACCCAGAACACAACATAGCCAACATTTTTGGTGTCCTGTTCTCTGCCATGGAGCAAATCTTAATAGAGAGCTGGAATGATTCCAGCCCTGACCCGTATTCAGATCTGCATGTGCTACCCACCACATGGATGAAGCTTTCTTCCACTAAGGGCACTCTGCCAGGGCCAACTCACAACTGGAGGCGAGGAAGTGAAAGGCACAAGAAGGGAAACAGAAGGAAAGTTTCCACACAGACACACAACAAACAAGGGGGGCTGAGTAGCTTGCCTTTTAAGGCACAGAGTGTTAACTATATTGTTGTATTGTGTTTAGATTCCACAGCGATAGGCACCTTAGAAAAATCCTAAAATAAACACAGTACAGAATTTTATTAGGGTTTTGGGTTTTTTTTGGAGGCAGATTGTAGTGCATGCATAACCACAAGTTTGGGCTCTTATTCCCAGGAATATGAGGGGAACATCTCAGCAGCTGATTCTGGTATCATAGCATGGTTTCCAGGGATGCTGAGAGTACTGAACTGAAAATGAAGCTGGACAAGATGAATGGGTAACTGAGAGAACTCCAAGCAGGCAGCAAGTATTATGCTTGAGTCCTTCTCTTTGTTTATCAAAATATATGTTCAGTTGGAATTTGTTTTCTGCTTGAGACAGTATCCTGTGTATTTCTTCTGCAGAAAGCAATGGAAAGTTGTGGTGTAATTCAGCAAGATGTAGTCAGGGTTTTCTGTTTTTCCTGGTAGAGATTACATTTTCCTCAGAGCAATACCACAAGCATCAGTCAGACTTTGGCCAATTGGTACCTTTGGATCATGCACATATCTTTCTCAGCAATTGGTGGACAGATAGGCTGTGAGATCATACAGATATGTTCCAAGAAAGCAACAGGATATTAGCTGAGCACTTGGAAGGGGGAGTGAGGAAGAGGAGCATGTGGCCAAAAGCAGTATCTATAAATGTTCCTTGTGCTGCTATATGGCACAAGGCAGAAATGGGTGAGCTATCTGTTGTAGCAGTGGAAAAGAAGTTTGGCATTGTGAGCATGTGCTGAAACATGAGGGTTTGACAGCAAATGAGGGAAGACGAAACTTAACAGGAAAGTTCGGTGCAGTGGTAGGCAAGTCATGTGATGCTCAACCACAGGATTTTCCTGCTTATGAAAAGCAGCCATCTCAGTGAGCTCCAAATTAATGTTCTTGTCTAATGCAAAGAGGGTTATAATCAGGCTTGCAGTTAGGGAGCCTGTTAATTATAAGATAGTGGGAATCAGGAAAGGTCCTGAGGAATGAGGTCAGGTGCTCAGTGCCTCTTGGTGATTTACTTTTCCCTCTTTGTTCCTCAGCTAGTGTCAGACAACTGAATAAGCTTTTCTAATCCATTTTGGTGAAGTGTAGGACTGGTTCTTTTGAAAACGTCTTCACCTTCTTGGGAGAGGGAAGTTGAATGTATTCTATGGGAGGGTTTTTGTTTTTTTTTATTTTTGAGTTAAACTTTTAAGATCCCTGGTGGGCACCTGTGATTCCGTGACCTCCCCATCAGCTGAGGGGAGCTAATGCAAACTTGCACATCTTTTTAACTCAAAATCTGTGCCCAGAGTCTCAGACAGGTACCACAAATGACTTCACACATCTCCCTTTTAATCTCGCTTTTTGCATATGAGACAAGGATAAGACAGGACTTAAATCTTCTCAAAAAATAATTTTTTTAACACCTAATCCAGTCCAGCACTGTAGAGAGGCCTTTTTACCCCCTTGTTTTCAAGCAAAGCAAGGAAATACTTTAAAAAAGAAAATGCTATATAAATAACATGTGTCTTGAGGAGAAGGATCAGATCAAAACTAGCACCACAGCACTCAGCTTTTGAAAATGCAGTATTTTAAAAATTAGGGATTTTTTTGAAAAAGAGCATGAAATTAAAAAGCAGAGGACACATGATAGATATTAAAGTGGAAAGTGTACTCAATTTTTAAAGTAATCCCACAAAAGAAATGCGAATGCCTGTGTCCCATAACCAGAAAGGAGATTCTGTGCAAAGCATTACCCAGCTTTAGGGAAGGGGAAGGGAAAAGATCAACCTCAGCAGTACCCTGAGGTTAAAGGATGTGCCTGTGTTACCTTTTCCTCACCCCTACTCCTGTTTTACCCCGTTGGGTGGGATCATGTGTATTTGTAACTGTGGCACATCTGTGTGGCTGGGTAAATCAGCAGGGATGTTACTTTTAAGTATGAAAAGATGACTTAAGAAGTGTTTTATGATACCAGGAGAGTTACAATGTCCAGAAAAAAAAAAGTAACAGAAAAACCAGCACATTGATACAAATGATGTGATAGGATAGGAACATGTGGTTTCTGTAAAAGAAAATAATCTGTTCCTCTACTCAGATGTTTTGAGCATGTCAGGAAAATCACGGACTTTAAAATCAGTTGAAATTTATTTGGTCTATAAAAAAAGCCCTTGGCAAAGCTTCTCACAGAGAAGCTGCCAAATAAATTAAGCAATGTGATGTACTGTGGCAAATTAGAAATTCACCAAGAGACAGTAAAACAAAGGGTAGGAAGGAATTAGCAATTTTAAGCATGACAAAAGGCTAACAGAGGGGTGTTCCATTACTAAAAGTGGAATTGTGCATATTTTAGCAAATGTGATCTATACAGAGTGATGACTGTGGGTTAGAGAATTATAGATGGTACAACCTTATGTGCATGAATCGAGATTAAAAAAGGCAAAGCTTGAAAGGGAACAAAAAGAGGCTGGCTGCCTGATAAACAAGGGGGCAAATGAAGTTATTGTTGACAAATAGAAGGTACTGTACCTTGGAAACCAGAGTCTAATAATGTACCTGGCTGTTGGATATAATGAACTGTAACTGCTCAGAAAAAATATCTGGATATTGTTGTAGACAGTTCAATGAAAACCTTTTCTTGGCATGCACAGCGGTGGTTAAAAAGAACATTAGGTATTTGAGTGTCTGGAGAATAAAACAGAAATAACACTGAAAATGTAACAATGTTACTATTAGCATATGGTATGCTGCCACTTCTGGTCACTGCATGAGAAAAGACATGAGAAATAGAAGGGATTTTAAAAGCTGGCAGTGAAAATTATTAGTGGGATGGCAAGAAAGGACTGCCTTTGAAGAAAGAAGCTGAAAAGAATGGGACTGCTGGGAGGGTGAGAGAGGTGTGATCAGAATAATGCTTGATAGAGAAGATGAACTGAATGGCCTGTTTTTTTCTTTCTTGTAATGTGAGAATGAGGAGGCAGCATGAGAAACTGAGAGAAACAAAAATTTAAAATTCTAACCAATATGTAACTTGAACCCAAGTCCTCCAACAAGGCCTGAAGTTGTAAGGAAACTGTAATTCTGTTGAAAATTAGTGCATGTGTCATAGCAAGCACACACTGAAAAAACTGCAGAACCACAAAATATCATTTGAGACTGGGCTGGCTGTAGGGTTAGAATAAAGATGATACTAGTCCTTTGCCCAGTCAAGGAGAACATCCTTGGTTAAAGGAAATAAACTCTGAAGCCAGGAGCCCTTAAGTGGTTCTGGCATAAGTCAAACAGTAGTTTTATGGGATTTTGAAAGAAGCATTGTGTATGAGCAGGTTGTGCACTGTGGTTTGTTGCAGTGTAATTCAGAGAGATCCAAATCTGGCAGCAGCTGGGCTCAGACTGGCACTTTGGGGAAAACCTGCCAGCTGCACTCTTGTCTCCTCTGCCTGTGGCTCTTGCAGGAAGAGCCTGTTTGAGTCTAAAGAAGACATCTGATGGTTTGGGTAGCATTAGCACAGTGTAAGAGCCCTTCTCTGCCTCATGGAGGAAGCAGCTTTTTGGGCTGTAATATTGCGTGGCCTAAATCTCCCCTGTGGCTTTCTCTGTAGCTCTACAGGGTTTCTTGTTTCTTATTCTGCAGTAAGAAGCTGCTGCCTTGACTTTTCCCCCCCCAAATGGCAAAGAATGGCAATTCTTGGCTCTTTTAGCTGCTGTTGAATGAGAAAATAAGGGATAGTTTTTCCTTTAGAGGGATTTTAGCTTAGCTTTAGTGTTCAAATTTTGAAATTAATGTTACTTATTTTTGAAAATAAAATAAAAGCTAAAATCTGGTGGGAATTGACTGTGGACATTGGGGGCTAAATCTTTGGCTTGATGGTTTTTGTTTTGTTTTTTTTCTAGGTCTAAAATACTTCCTTTCAATACTCAAAATATTTGGGTTTGAACTCTGTCATTCTTTGGTTGCGAGTTAGAAACATTCTTTATTTTATGAGATACCCATTGGTGACGAAGTGACTGTCTTTGGGCAGGAGAAGAAATTTCAAATCAAATGAATCAGTGGCTCCTATTTTCATCCATTCTCAAAAGATATTGCAGGGGTGGCATGCCATACTCCCGGGGAGAGGAGGTGGGCTCCCACCCAGGCTCTGTCACCTGCCTGCAGCAGTGACAGCCTTCTGAAGGCATCCTATTGATGGTTGTGATAAGGGCTTCTGGAAGACGTGGTTAAACACATAGGCAGGGAAATGCTGATTGAAGGGGATCCTGGAGAGAAGCCCTGGCACACAGAATCTGTGGGTGTAAGAGATAAAGTTGCCATGGTGAGGGTGCTTGCTGCCCTGAGTACATCTCAGTGTTCTCTGTGAGGAGTGCTCACACACTGCTGTGCTCACAGACCATCCTGCTCCCAGTAGTGTAGACAAGCAATCTGGTTGGCATTTTCATTGTAACCTGGTAATATTTAGAATTTATTGTGATGCTATTCTTCTGCAAGGTTGCTTAAAATATGTTAGGTTAGCACTAGCTAATTTCTTTTTTTTTGTCATTGTCAGGTGCAATTATAAGATTCCAGAATTGCTTTGTCTGTAAATGTCATGCTTAGACAGTATTGAGAATGTCATTCTGGCCAAGAGAAATTTTCTCTTGCTATCTTGTGTAACACTCCAGAGCCACCAAAGAACCACTGAATGAAAAGTTACCGAGCACTGGTGAAATGTGTCTTCACTGAATGCAAAAAGTACAAAAAGAGGGACATCCCCCAGCTTCACATTTCAGCAGGCCTGAGTCAAGGGTTGTGTAGAACTGGAAATCCTGGATCTGAGCTTGTGACTAAGTTCCTCTTACAATATAGGAAATCAATCAGGCCAGGTCTACAACCATGGAAAACTCCAGCCCGAATCCTGATAGAGCCTTGTTAGGGAAATGCTGCTGTTACCCTGGAGCTCTGCAGTCTCTGCACCAGGACCTCAGGATCTAGATCTCAGCTCTGCAGGAGCTGAAAGCCTTAGCTAAAGCTACATTTTCCAAGCTCCCTGGTGTAAATCTGCAGCCCTCAGGGTTTTTGGACTCCCAGGCAGTAGCAGCAAGCCTTAGATCCCTGGCACAGCTGGCTACTTCTGAGTCAAGCCCAAGGAGCAGGGGGAAGGAGGAGTGCCACTCAGTAGGGTTGGAGAATCACACCTTGTTTGCCAAGAGTTCATCAAACCTCTCCATGTTTCAGGTGAAATATTTTGCATTCAACAAATTGCCATTTTCCAACAAAAATCTGTCTCACTGAAATGTTTCCAACCAACTTGACTCACAAGTGAAAGCGAATGTGTGGAGCTCAGCTGGTGCCAGTGTGCCCTGATCACATGTTCATCCATTAGTAAGGAACAAATGTATGTATTTGCCAGCCTTTTTGCAGGGAGTAGCCTGGAGTGCTGCTGTCAGGATATAAAATTTATTTGCGAAGCCATAGCAAAAAGATTTTTCAACAGCCCTGCTGCTATTATGCTGGGCTCAGTTGTTCCTTCTCTTTAATGAGGACTGTATGAAGCAAGAAATTGTATAATTATATGTATGTAGCTTATATAGTTTAATGAGTGTGTCTGTTCATATAATACGTGAGCCATTACATACGGGTGGATGGAGTTCCCTCTAAAAGGTAATCGGGATGGAGCCTGAGGATAGCAGGCATTGTATTCATACTGGGGCATGCAGGCTCTGTGACAAAGAGCCTGCATATGAGGACAGTAAGATTTACTGTGATCTTTAATTGACTGATAAACTACAATAAATGGCAGACACCATTTCTCGTGTTTCTATTGTATCATAAAAGAGCTGTTTATTTTCTGGGAGAATTAATTTTCAGCAAACTGTTTCAATAGCTCCTCGGTATTGCCAGGTGCTATGTTTTGACTCTAATGATACATAAATCAATGATGGACATTGCTGTGCTGGTTGGGTTGTTGTTTGTTTGTTGTTTTTTGGGGTTTTTTTGCTGGGTTGCTCTGAAGAATTTTTATTAGTTAGGTTGCACAGAGTTATGTTTCTTTTTAATTAAGAAATCTATTAGTTATAGTTTGGAAGTCTTTATGCACTGACAGGTCATCAGGATCTGATTGTAAGGACTGTTTGATCTAAAGCAGACTTCATAATTTCCAAGCTGCAGAAACAGATGTTCTTGGTCTTTTTATTATTTTTTTGTTTGTTTTCACTTGAGTCTGATGTTTACATTCTTTGACTTGTGTGAAAGAATCCTACTGTTCTTAGGGTCTGAGCACTTTCCAAGTGATTAGAATGAAGAGTTCACTCATTAGTTAATATTTTCTTTTGGTTTTTTTTTCAAACAGTGAGAAAATGCAGACTTGAAATTTCTGCAATTCTGTTAATTGCTTGGCTTAATACATGCTTTTATCTTTCACCTCTTGAACCAGGTTCATCAGCACCAAGACAGGGGTGAGACCTTCCAATGCCAGCTGTGCCCTTTTACCTCCTCCCGCCACTTCAGCCTGAAACTCCACATGCGCTGCCATCAACATTTCCTCAGGACAGAGTCTAAAGTGAAGGAGGAAATGCCAGAAACTGAGGTGAAGGGCTCACCACAGCTAAACAGTGACTCCTGCCCAGGACCACAGAGGGAAGGAGCAGGGCCTGACCTCACAGGATCAGCATCTGTATCCAAAACCCCCGATGTTGCTGGGCAGCCTGGTGGGGCGGTTCCACCTTTGCTGGTGAAAGAAGAGCCCAAAGACGACACTGGCGCCTCAGCTGCACCTTTTGTGCTTAGCACTGTCGACAGAGCCCCAAACAACACAAAGCTGAAAGACTCCCCTGACTTCGTGGCTAATACAGCATCAGCACTATTCAGCCAAGACATCTCTGTCAAGATGGCATCAGATTTTCTTATGAAGCTATCAGGTAACTGAGCAGCAGCATTGGCTGCTCCTTTGTGGGCTAGGAGACACTTTGTCTTGGTATTGCTAGGAGCAAAACATTGTAGATTCTGAACTTACAATTTCTTGTTTCTCTTGATAGCACAGGTGTATGGTGGAGGGCAGAGGGGAAGCGGTGAGAGGAGGAAGGGATTTTGCTGTTTAATTGCTGGGATTAAGAGTGAGAACTGTTTATCCAGGCTTTCCCATTCATTAGTATTTACCTTGGCAAATCTCTTTGTGGTGCATTTTCCAGGCATGCTGAATACCTGTAGTTCTAGTTTGAAATCACTGAGGGTCACCCAAGTGTCCAGGGTATTCAAATATTCAGTTCTTAAGCTCTCTGCCTTTACCCACCTCTTAAAAAGGACCAATAAAGTATTCACCTTCCTTTCCAAGTAGTATTTGATGCCTGTGTAGTAAATGCATGTGAAGTGTGAGTGTTACTGCATTTGGGTTCTGTTGCTAACACTTTTAAAAGAAGAGCAATCCTAGAGATTCATGTACAGCTTTTAAAAATTATTATTATTATTGTAATTGAAATTCATATCTAATGCCAAACATGTTTAGTGTTTTTTCACTGTCAGATTATTGCTGTAAGAATTATAGTCATATGTGAGACTGAAGTGTAGGATGTGTTTAGGGTGTATCTGTTATATTTTATGTGCTCTTTATTGATTTGACTGAATACTTCAGAACAGTTGATATGCTGGGGGTGTGTTCTATGCCAAATGTTTTTGAAATTGGCCTTGAATTTTTGAAGAGAAACAAGTCAGGAAAAATGTCACTCAAGGAGCTTCTGTTTTACAAGGAGGTCTGTCCCTTTGGGAAGTTTTAGGTTTTGGAGATAATCATTACAACAGAAAATAGTTAGTCAGCTTTCTCCTTTAAATGGAAAGTAAGTTGTATTTGAGCAAATTTTATTGTCAGATGAACTAAGGAATTAGCTCTGTCTTAATGCCCAGCCTTGGTGAAACCACAGCCATTTGTTTAGGAAAACCTTCCTCTCCTCATCTTCCCAGATCTTTGTACCTCTGGGGTCACAGTTCAGTGAGGAAATGAGGAGAATGGGTTAATACAAGACATCAACACTGAGGCTTCATGGAGCCAGCCAGGAAAAGAGAAAACAGCTGGGGGCAAGCAGGAGCTGAATTGGGCTGGCACAAATGGTTTGCTATGTTGGTTGGAAGAAGCCACAGGACCTCCCTCTGAAAAAAATATTAAATATCTGTCAATATAAATTATTATAAATTATTACTCTGACTGACAAAAAGCGGGCAGGATGAGTCTGTTTGGATTTGCTTCTCCATTGCTTTACTTGAGTTTCAAATTTGGACTCGGTATGAAATCCATCTTACCCTGTCCAGCAGCTGTCCCACACATGTTGTTGCTCCAATGTCCATCTTAAATTCGGGTTGCTGTGCACGAAGAGGCTCTGCACATCAGCAGGGCTGGCCTGGGGAGGGTGTTCCTTGTGATGGCTGCATGGAGCAGGAATGAGAGCAGCGTGCAGGATGGGGGAAAGCCTGAAAGCTGACAGAACGTGCAACAATTTGGCGTGTGGCTTTTCATGTAAGCAGTTGATGGGAAGCTGTTCACAGTTTGGCAGACGGTCATGTTTTCAGTGTGTGCTCTATTGGCATCAGAGAAAGGATACAAATGTACATTATTCATGCAAAAGGCCTATGCAGTTATTTTATGGTGACTTACTAAAGGTCTTGAAACCTGACTTGTATGCACTGTTACCTAGCAACATGTTATAAAGTCGCTGGGGGAGCAAGATGTATCTGTAATTTTGTATGTGCGCATATTTGGATTAAAATGTACTGCCAGTCACGAAGTTTGCTGCACAGAAAGAGCAATGTCAGAAGGAAGGGAATTTCTTTACTTCTGAGATTTATATTGTGTTACATAGATTTGGTTCATGCTTTCCTCTATGCAGAGTGCATAAATTTAAGAGTAAAAGTAATTCTCTTTTAGCAAGTTGGCTGAGTATTACCTGCAGTTTTGATGGTTCAGCTCTGCTGAGCAAAGTTCCTTTGAGTGATTTCTTTATTACGACAGTCTTGTTAGACCCATCAGAACTTCAATTATTTGCCCTACCTTTCCAATGATATAAATCTTTTGACATCTCAAATTATATATGCCAATTGAAACAGCCAACACAGATTTTTCGAGACCAAATTATGTCAAAACAATCTAATTTTCTTCTCTGACAGGCCTTGTGGCTAGGAAAGAAGCAGTAGATAGATATATACACTTTTAGAATTTGGCATTCATTCCTATTGACTATTGATGTTCTAAAGGAATATTTATTTTTGCTCATGTTTATTGCTTTGTGTATTTTTGCCAGTGTTTATTGCACCTCTTCTTGCTTGGTGTCAGTCTGTATACCTCCAGTTTCATGGGAAACCTGCTGAAGTCCACCCATCATATCCATGTCTCTCCAGTTTAGAGACAAGGGTGTCACATATGACAGTGTCAAATGCTTGGCAAAGCCTGCTCTGCCCCTGTCCACCAGTGCTGTAGCCCCACCATAAAAAGCCACCAAATTTGTCAGGCACGATTTGCCCTGGTGAAGCTGTGTTGGCTGTCAGCAGCCACCTCTTTGTTTTCTGTGTGCCTTAGCAAAGTTTCCAGGAGAACGGAGATTATAGTGTATAATCATAAAATCAATGTAATCAGGACAAAAAGTAAGGATTGTATCGCTGTATTAGGAGAATAATTCCCAAGCTGAGGTATTTATACCTCTAGGATAGTTTGGCTGGAGAGATTGTGGCATCTCCACCACTGTGAAAGTGTAAAAACAGCTGCCTGTCAGATATGGCTGGTCACATATTAAGCAGTAAGATGGACTCTCAATCAGTGGACCATAGGATGTCATAAGCAGTGGCAAGAAATGTTATCCAAACAAAAACAAGCAGCAAGCTGTAGAGATGCAGATTGGGGGAAAATTTACAGATGTTCAAAGTTAGACCTGATTTGGAGCAGGTCAGAGATGAATTATGGTGACACTGCTCAAAACACCCATTTGGTTTTTTTTCAGAAAGGCTCAGGGAAGGCTTTAGGTTTAAAGAGTTTGAGAAATACTGGTGTGGGTGACCTTTTCAAGACCACTTCATGCCCAATTCTGTGCCATTGCTTGCCAGAAAGATCTTTAGTTATGTGTTTTATGAAATAAGGCATAACACAAATCACCAAATATAAATCTTAAGAATTAGAACAAATCTTGATTTTTAAAAAATTTTTTCCAGATTCAATTCTTAAGGTCCTGGTTTAAGGTAGGAGAGGATTTTAAATTCACAAGAAATTTAAAAGAGTTCTCTGAAACTTTATTCAGATTTTTTTGTAAAGACAGTTAGCAGGTGACTCAAAGAGAATATTTAAGCATGGGCACATTTTTACCTTCAAATCTTGCTCCTCTGATTTCAGTAGGTCTGCTTTAAATTTTTCCAGTACCAGTGCTTTGTCAGAATGTTTTCCTCCCCCAGTCCATTAATTCCATTTTGAAACTTTATAACAGCATCATATCTTGATTCAAAGAGTATTTGATTTTTGTACACCTCTCTTTAAATACTAGTGTCCTTCTACCCACTTTTCAGACTTGGGTGTTCTGGAGGGGTTTTTTTGTTGGATTTTTTTTTTCTGTTGTTGTTTTTGGGGTGGTTTTTTTGTTGTCTGTTTTTTGTTTGTTTTTTTTTAATAAAAAATTCTTTCACAATGATCCAAACCACAATGGCCAGTGTACCCTAGTGATGTTATTACTGTGCCTACGTTATGTGCTGCAGTAACTTTTAACATTCGGAAATAAATGAATCCCAACAAAATGAATGGGATTCTTGCACTATTGCTCTCCATGGGATTCTGTGTAGAAACAGTAATTGGTACACATCCTTCATTGCTGGCCTCTCTCCCCCACCTCTCTGGGTTTAAACAAGTGCATTGCTCCAGCAAGCAGGTCTCTTCATCTTGTGGAGTGGTATCAAGTATGCCCTGCCTCTGCTGTTCTTTTTATGTGCCCCAAGTTACTTTCATGGAAAAACTTTAAAAAAAGACAGGAGGAAGGAGCTAAAATGCTGAGGGTTTGGGGCTGGCCATGTTAAACCAATTAAAAACTGCTTTCTCTCCGTTTGTCATATCTGTTGTCACTGTCATGTGAGGAGTCAGGTCTTTATTTTGGGAAATAAAGCCACCATGAGACTTTGGTGACTGTCCAAAATATTTGGGCTTTTCATTTGTGTTTTATTAGCTGATTCCATTAATGGAATAATGAGAGAGTAAATCATCAGACAGCTACATACAGCACTTTAGTAGAAAAGCTAAGTAATCACTTAGATTATTTGTTCTGTTTGGCTCTTGAAAATTACTGTGGTCCTTAAAGGTAACACAAGTAATTTGAAATGTTTTATCATTTGCCATTGACTGTACCAAAATGGTTGGCTTGAACTCTTCAAACAGCTATTTTTAATAAAATAAAAGCATATCCAATTAAATTGCCATAATTGATGTATTTGAGTAGCAAGTTCCAAAGAAAAAAACGTGCTGTCTATATTTGGGATTCATAGTTTATGTCAGAATGTAAAATTTCAATTAGAATATGTAAGTGTGCAGGACTGGCAATTATTGAGCCATGTCCTTGATTTAAAAATACTGTGAATTCCATAATGCTGCTGTCAGTGTAAATACCCCTGATGTCATCAAGTTCTCTCTTTGAAGTCTCTCCAGACTTCATTTTCATAGCTTCCATATAGACCTTTAGTTTAAAGTAAAATTCTGGTGTGCAATAGCACATCTACTTAAAACTTGGGCAAATAAAATCTTGTTCTAATCTTTGCTAGTGATACATCATCACCTTTATAATCTCTTTTCAGCAATTTCTAGTCTTGTATCCACAATTTCCCAGCATCCATAAAATCACATTGTTGCATTTTACATCTTGAAGGAACATGTAGAATTTAGCAAGATAAAGTCCTAATCCACCAATTT